GTAATTGCTTTCAAAGTCTTTTATTACCATCGATCTCATCTTTAGTGCTCTGTGCCTACTTTGATGTTGATTGGGCCAGTGACCCCACTAATCACAAGTCCACTACTAGTTTATGTATATTTTTGGGTGATTCTCTTATCTCTTAAAAAAGTAAGAAGAAGACTATTGTTTCTGTTCCTCTACGAAGGCAGATTATTGAGCTATGGTATCTACTACCACTGAGATTGTGTGGTTGCGATGATTACTTGCAGACATGAGTGTTTCTCATTCTTCTCCAACTCCTATTATTGTGATAATACTAGTGTTATTCAGATCTCTCACAACTCTATTTTCCATGAACGCACAAAGGAAATTGAGATTTATTGTCATCTGGTTTGTCATCATACGCAGACTGGCACCATTTCCCTACCTTTTGTTTTTTTATCATTGCAGCTTGCTAACTTCTTTACTAAGTCTTATCCAGTTCATCGTTTTCGCTTCTTGCGTAACAAACTCTCGCTGCTTCTTGCTTTAGCATAATGAGTTTGAGGGGGATGATAATATATTATTTATTTATTTAATATTTAGTTTCCTTATTTTTTAGGTTTCCTTATCAGTTTAAGTTTCCTTGTAATACATAAACAATTTTAATTCATTGTAAATCCGAATCTTTGGTTGCTTAATAGATTAGTGTTTCTCTCCTTCTCTTCTCTTCTCTTCTCCTCTTATCTTTGAATTGATTCACAATATTGGTTCAAAATAGTTTATGTTATTAACACTATCATCTTTCAAGTTAACCCTTGACCTTTCTCCATCTCCCAATTGAATCCTCTACCTTTTCTATTGCTCTGAAATCTCTCACGTTTCCTTCCTCTTGCTCCATCCTTTAGCCATCCCCCAAATAAAAGAAAATCAAAATAAATTAAACTGCAAAGACTATATGACGCAAATTGTAAAACTTAGAGCCCCTAACTTGTTTTTGTTGAACAAATGTTGAGGATGTAATAACTTTTTGTCGAACCTTTAAAAAAACCTAGCAATCTTTGTCATTGCACTTGTTTTTCTTGTTACTTTTAAATCCGCACAACCTTTCATTGAATTGATCTGCCTTAACTTCATCACTTCAGGATTGTGGAATTCTTGGAGAAATTTGGTTTGGAGCTGGGATCAAAACTCCTTTTGAAGCGAAGGGTAAATTACTTAAATCCCTTACATTTTTCAAAAAAGAAGAATTGCACATAAAATACATTGTGCTCTAGATGAGTTCTGACATGCTCATTCGTTAGAAAAGGCATCTTAGTTGAGAAATCTTCGATGAGTAGGGATATGCTTGTTGTACACTCTTGCGTACAGCAAGTTGTACACCTCTCTCACTTGAGGAGGCCCCACGATTAACGTGGGACCTCCTCAAGTGAGAGAGGTGTAAGCTTGTACAATAAAAATTATTGTACAAGCAGATTTACCCTTGGTGAGTATATGAAGATGTAATTAGTCGATTTTTTGATCCATGTTATTGTACTGATATCGAGCTCGTTGCCTAAATCTTAATTAAATGTATAGAGTATCTATATTTTCACGTAGTGTCATGTCACATAATAGGCAGGAACCTGTCAAATCTAAAAAGGCTATGTGTCCAGTGACTACTAGTCGAATTATTGGCAGATTCTGCCATTAACACTTGCTGTTATAATTAAAATAAAACACAAAGCAGTTACAGCTAACAATTAAGTTAATTTAGTATCATCAGAAAAATCTTAGCACTTTCCAAATCAACTTCGTTAGCTGCCTAACTACTTAGATAAGTGTTACCAACAATTCCTCGGATTGGTACATTTGTACTTATAAGTGATTATGTGACAAAAAAGCAGTAAATAAATATAGTGCACATTTTCAGCCTGCGGATTGAAGCAGCTAGCGAACAATTATATTCCTCATTTTCCCGATTCCTCTTGATAGGATTAACTACCATTTGTTAAAATATTATTATATCCCTTTTCACGCACTTGTTAGATACATGTATATGTGATTTTAAGGAGTGCTAGTGAAGAATGAAACCTCGATCTTGCATTAAGACCATGTTTGAGAATAAAAATACTTATATTGACATGGAAAGAATTATTGTCAAGATAAGAAATTTACTTAGTTCTAAATTTAACTAACTAAAATATCACTGTATTCTACAACTTAGATGGTTGCTTTATTAGTTAAAAGGAAAACCTTTTAGGCTGAGCCAAAACATGCAAAAATAATAATAATAATAATAATAATAATAATAATAATAATAATAATAATAATAATAATAATAATAATAAAAGAGTATAACCAAAAGCCGTAGCCTATTTTTACAGACTTATTTATGAAAAATATGAAAATACAATTGAATTATAGTCTCACTAAACATCTATATGCTTTTATTACTAGAACGATTTCGATCTCTACATTAGTATATATGGGTTTGGGTTTACATAGAAAATATTTTTCAATCTCGGCTCAAGCAATGAAAAATGTAAAGAGTGGAAGGTTAAACTGCAAAGATCAGAATGAAATCACACGTAATAATTAACACAATTTGGTTTGATCAATATGAAAAAGAAAATAGTATCAATAGCAAACATTAAAATTCTCCGATGTGAAAGAAATTCATAACAACGTAAATAGAAGTGAAGGTTCAATTTTGCTTCAAAAAAATTGTAATTTTCCAAGAAAACGTGATTGATTCGTCAGGTGCCTAATTTAATTTAAATATTCATCGACTACCCGATTTCTTAAGAAATAAATTTCCCTTGACGAGATGAACATGGGCATACGCATACTATTCTGGTCATGCATGAGAATTTTATTTTTAAAAAATATGAATGATGGAAACCAGCTGGAAGTAAATACAAAAAGATTCATGAATTGTAGTAATTTGCATGGACATATGAGATGAATTATTGTGGTAAACGCTACGTGTCTCAACATTTGTTCCCAATAAATAAAATGACACATATTTGAGACACTTGTTATGTATATAACATAGTTTATAAGGTTGATTTGGACTAATCTGAACTTTAATACTTTAATTTATTTGCAATGATAAGATCTTCAAATCAATCAATTCAAACCCGGTGCATGATTTTGAATTTCATTCATTATGGAGCAACGTTTCTTTTTATTAATATCATTTTAATATAAAAGTTCCATTTTTCAGGTCAGTTCTATCTTTTCTTGGGTGCATACTTTTTAGGGGTAAATCAGAAGATTTATCTGTTGCTTAAATGATGAATAACACTGCTAGGTTTTGTATTAATTATATATACTAGGTTTGCAGATGGCAGCATGGGATTGAAAATTCAAATCTTAACCACTGCAAACTTTATCTGGCCCTTAAAGGCACAGATTCCGTATCCCACAAATACTCCCATATTTTTAGCAGTATAAATAGACCTTATTTTAAGGCTGAGACACTTGTAAAAGGAAATGAAAATAGCCATGAGAAAGCGGCTCAAGATTTTTATACAGTGACATCTGGTCTTGAATTCCATGGGGAAGTACCAGAAATGGTTGAAATTTGCCTCAGCAGTTTAGTCCATCTCCTAGCCATCTATATAAACAAGAATCTGTAACATTTGTAATTGCAAAACGTGATAAGTTATGGCTTCTATTTCACTCAATGTTTGCAGGTTAAGCAATCCATGTTTTTCTAAGGTTAAGTCACAAATGAGTCCTCAAGCTACATCTCAAAGCTTCCGCGATGATCAAGGTACTTATTTTTAAGCTTAATTTGATGGCCATCCATAACTCGGATGTTGAGAACAAAAATCGGATGCTAAATTTTAGTTTCTGTCTTTATACAGGAAACCCTGAAAGTTTGGTGGACTCAAACTTGAGCATTTTGAAGTACAGAATGGAACAAGTTCGGACCAGGGAAAAGTTAAATGCTTGTTATCTGCATGGAAATGGATGGAATTATCAATCTGGGTACAACAACAAAATCAAGAGACAAGAAATTTTATTTCAGTCTATTGAGCTACTAGGTTTAGTTTCTAGCTCAATAGGACTCGTATTTCTAAGTGGTTCTCTCTTCATTTTCCTTGTTTCCTTGTGTTTCTAAGTGGTTCTCTCTTCTGCCATCTCTCTCATACATATTTTCATCTCTCTCTCTATAAACCTACGTTTTCTGGTTCTCTTCGTCTCTTAGTTAAAAGTGTTTGTAAGATTCCTGTGATTCTTCATTTGGAAGTGGAGATTTGAGTGGAGGAGACAGCCTTGTGTTCAGATCATTGTGACTTTGCGTTATTCTTATACAAACTTGGTGAATATAGTGCAGACCTTCCATAGGACCATATCTGATGGATCTCAACGGAGATATAAGCACTTCTTGCAGAAACTGGAGAAAATCTGTGTTCTTTGTTATTGCTATTGTTTCTGCCGTTATCCTTGAATCCACTGTGCTTATGGTCAGATCAGAAATGCTACATGCACATATGTTTGACATTTTGTTTGACAAATTGAGGGCCAGCAAGATTTCATTGGACAAAAAACAAAGTTAAATCAGCCAATGCAGTATTGTCACCTCATCATCTGTATTTTTTTGTACGAGGAGCTTAATTCTGATCAGATCCATCTCCCCTGACCTAGTCACTTTAGGACTATGAAATCATATGGAAAATCTGGTGCTTAACTTACAGCTTGCATGTAAAATATGTTGTGCTCTAAGTCAATTTTTACATGTGCCCCTTGTTCAGACAACTTTGCCCCTCCAAATAAACTTTGTTAGCTGCCTAATTACTGAGAAAAGTGTAACGAAAAGTGTAATAGCCCAAATTTTCATAGTCAAAATTCAAATGTTAAATTGTCAAAGTCAAAGTCAAAGTCAATTAAGGACAAAAATGAAATGAAATATATTTTTGGAAGTTTAGGACTTAAATGGTATATCTATTAAAGAAGAAAGACTTCCTTTGCAATTTTGAATAAGTGGGCCTTTATACCAATTTTTCTCTCAAAACACACACACACTAAAAACAACGCAGAGAAGCAGAAAGGCCGAGAAAGAAGAAAAAAAGGAAAAGAAGAAGAAAGGAAAGGAAAGGAACGGAAAGGAAGAAGTTGATGACTTTTGCCAGTTTGGGTTCTTCATTTTTTTCAAATTATGCTTCTTTTAAAGAGGTATGTAAATTAAATTTCTAAGGTTTATGAACAATTCATTTACATTCGAAGTTTAGCAAGAATTAGATATTAATAATATGTATTTGAGGTATTAAGCAAGAGTCGATCAAGGAAATGTATTAAGAAAGATTGATGTTGTAGAAAGTGAAACTTTGAAAATGGGTTTATGAAATGGATACCTTTCTTTGTTTTTCTTGTGATTATATGGTGTAAACCACTTAATTTAAGGACATGAGGTTTGATTTCTCTATTTTGAACAATTGTAAGCTATTTTTAAGCAATTTTAATACACAGGTGCTGATTTTGTAATTTTTCCCAGAAAAGTGTCATTTCTGTCGATTGCTTTGGTGATAATTTTTAGTGTACAGAAACTGGTTTTACAGTTCCATATTCTGGAATTTTATTGTTGTTTTTATCTAACCTTTGATTTTCACATTTTAAAGGCTTGAATGAAGTTATGTGACAAAGTATTGAAGTTTATGTAGTAGACTAAATTATGTATAGGGTTTGTATAAGGTATTGATTTTAAGCAAGTGCAAGTGATTTAATGGATTTGATAATGAATGGTGATTAGTTGATAAATCATTAGAGAGAAGAAAAGTTGGGGAATTGGAGATGTAAAAGTATATATAGAAATTGAGAAGTTAAGAGGTGAATTTGTATTAATTTAATTGTCAGATATTAATTTGAGGAATTATACTGTTGTTTCAGGTAGGGACGTGAAAGTTTGGAAAGGCTCATCAATTAAATCAAGTTTTCATACATAGTTCTGTGAGTGGAAAATCTATGTTTTCAAAAAAAAGATTTTCTTTTTTATTTTATAGAAGCATGTTAATTACATGAAATACTTTATTTTCAAGAATTAGTAAATGAGCATGATTGTTTTGAAATTATCATAAAATAATTGATGTAATTATCTTACTCTAGTGCACTGAGGGGTTATGACTGTGTACTAGAGTCATGAATTTAACTCTTATGCATTGAGGGGCTACAACCGTGTGTAAGGGTAACTCTTATCCACTGAAGGGCTACGGCCGTGGGTAAAGGTATCTATTATACACTGAGGGGCTACAGCCGTGTATAAGGATGATTATATTATTTCCATCTTGTATACTGAGGAGCTACGGCCGTGTACTAGAGTTGTATATTTAACTCTTATACACTGAGGGGCTACAGCCGTGTGTAAGGGTAACTCTTATCCACTGAGGGGATACGGCCGTGGGTAAAAGCATCTATTATACACTGAGGGGCTATAGTCGTGTATAAGAATAATTATGTTATTTCCATCTTGTACGCTGAGGGGCTACGACCGTGTACAGATTATTGATCAAATGATTATGTGTATATGATTTATAGCTTTTAGATCATTAGTAGATGTTTACCTGGGATATATTTTGATGTGAATTTTAAGTGTATAGGGGATTATTAACCTACAACTTACATTTCCCCATTTACTGTTCAGCTTATGGATTTCAAATTATAGAGTTCAGTTTATTCAGTTTTAAGAATAAAGCTTCCAGCTTATAATATTGAGCAACAACAATATACCATAGATTTTCATGAAAATCAGGTTCTTTATATTCGCTATACTTTGCAATTACATATCTAGAATTAAGAACAAAAATTTTTATAATATAATCATGCTTAATTTAAAAGTGTTGCTAGATTTAAGCATTTCTCAAAGATTTAATAGACTTTGAATTTTTAGAAAATATGCATAAATGGAAAAGTACACTTATTTTCAATTTATCCACTCATTGAGTTACAAGCTCATATTTTGTTACCCTTTTCCTTATCAGATAGCAATCGAGTTGAACAGTATTGGAGCCTATCGATCCACTGAATTGAGCAACACGTCATTAGTTGTATGATCTACTTTATCATATTAGGTAGTACCTGTTTCTTGGGTTACATGTAATTTATGTTAGAAAAAGTTGTCATGAAATCACTATATGATATATTTAGTACATTTGAGGATTGTTGATAGTAAAGCAAGTAAATATCGAATTGTCAGTATTTTATTTTGAATAGTTTGAATTTTTAGGCACTGGTGTACTTGTTTTATATTATATGTATTGATTTGAGGAAACTGATCATGGATCAAGTGGTTTTAGCCCACATTTTAGAGGAGACTTTGTCAAAATTCTTTAAAATTTCCTTACAGTTAGACAAGTTAAGGTTGCCTTGGTGGTGGGTCCGACACTTAGCTGATATCTACCATTGGCGCACGACACGTGTCAATTCCATTAAGGTGATTCGGGATGGATCGTGTCAAAAAGTCCTTCGAATGGTACATTTGTCCACTTACAAATTACAAGTGATTATGCGGAAAAAAAAAAAGAGAGCACTATTTAATAAAGATAGTGTCCATTTTCAGCCCGTAGATTCAAACAGCTAGCGGGCAAGTGTTCCTCATTTTTTTACTTTCTGTTGACAAGGTTAACTAGGCATAGCAATTGAATTGAGCAGCTCATTGGTTCGTCCACTCGACTCATTTGGGCTCAGCCCATGAGCCACTGGAACTAATTTAGGGACGATTAAAAAAAAAAAAGGTTAGGTAATCTTTTCCTATGAATTTTTCGAAGGTAAAAATGTAGGTCACTATCCACAAAAATTTCATAGGTTTTACAGTGTGATCCCCAGAAAATCTGTAGTTAAAAGTGTGCGTTGTTTACCTATGAGACTTCCGTGAGTAAATCCATGTTTTTAAAACAAAAAAAAAAAAAAAAAAAAAAAAAAATTTGAACTGAATTGTAAACCTGAAAAGTTTGTCTTATAAAGAAGTTACTCTAGGGTTTGAAGCAAGCACCTAGACAATTGTATAAGAAATTTAATTCATATGTTCAAAACAAAGGGATTCTCTAAGAGCAATTTTGATTTATGCCTTTATTTCAAAGGTCCTAGTGGACTTGATTCTATCTATTTACTCTTATATGTTGATGATATGCTCTTTGCTTGTCATAATGGATCTAAAATTGATTTTTTTAAATCAAAATTAAAATTAAAAAAAAAAAAAAAAAAAAAAAAAAAAAATCTAGAATCAGTTTTGCCAGTTTGCCAAATTGGCTTTTTAATTAAAAAATTAAGCCTATGTTTGAGACACATTTTTTGTTGAAATTGACTTGTGTAATAGTAAATGAGTTGGATGGAGCTTTTAGACTTGGTTGTTGATAATTATTCCACTCATTGGCTGATGCCTATGAAATATAATCCACGTTGACATCATAGCTAGGGATTTATGAGGTATCGTAACCCAACAACAGATGTTCAATAGGTGATTGAAATGCACTTTAAATTGACATATATCACCTTGGGAAAGCCTGTAGGTGAATGATGCACGTATGAGCCAAAAAATAAGACGCAGAATTTTCATTGGTAAAAGGCTATTGCTAACAAATAATCCGTTGCTTATTATCAATGAATTCATTTCATTGTTAAATTTCTGTTGGTAAAACGTCGATTTTATTTTATTTATTATTATTTTATTTTTTTCTTAGCGAGAATGAAGCTCTATCTTACAATAAGAACATGTTTGAATGTAAAAAATATAATTATTTTGAATGTGAGAATGAAGCCTCGATCTTACCATAAGAGCATGTTTGAATGTAAAAATATACTTATTGACGAGGTAAGGATTATTGTAAAGATAAGAAATTCTAAATTTAACCAACAAAAAACTGAGACAAACATATATAAGTCTTGTGTAATCTTTTGCATATTTATTCCTTACTACGATTTTATTGCTCTTGGTAATATAGAATTGGAATTTCTAATTTTAAATAGTACTTACTTTAAAACTTATATGTTTGTGCATTCTTGCGTGTGGAGAGGGAAGATGCTGGATAACTTAGTCTGAAAACTTAAGTTGTTCTATAGACCTCATACACATCATCTAAATACAGAATTGGGGGAGATAAGATACAGTGATACTGCACTTGATGCATGTCTTTCTTGATTCAATAAAGATTCAAGATAAATCCTTTTGGATCATGAGTTTTTTCCTTAATATGTCCATGCTATTGACATTGGAGTCTTAAAAGGCATAAAAGAAAAATCTCCTTAAAAGGTAGCCCAAACTCTTGTACAATTAATTATCGATTTGATTTCATGTTGTATTTCACCCTAACTCATGCCACAAGAAGATTTAGAGTGAGCTCTCCAAAGTTGCCTTATAATATTATTTAGTACCACTGGTATCAAGTATTAATTTAGAAGGTAATTGCATGACATTAAATGTAATGCCATATAATTCATTTAATTAAACATATCAAGTGTTATCATCTAAATTGATGGCTAGATAATATTATTCTAAATTACTTGAATGGCCTCAATAGTTTTACGTTTGATAACTTTACGGTAAAACCATTATTTTAATTTCATTTTATTATCATATATATTCAGGCTTCAAAACCAAATTTCAAGTGTGTTGTGCTTAATTAGTGCAGACTCGATCGGATGCTAAATTTAAGTTTAGGGTCTATTGGAAACTCTGGAAGTATGGCATTCGACTCAAACTAGAGTGTGTTGAAATACAGAATGGAACAAGTTAGGTGCAGAGAAAGGTTAAATGCTTGTTTTCTTTATGGAAATAGTTGGAATTATAAATCTGGCTACGACAACAAAAAGAGAGAGGATATGCTATTTAAGTCTAGGTTTTTGTTTACAGTACCATAAGAGGTGTATTTCTCAGTGGATCTCTTTGTATTTTCTTGAACTGAAAACCTTCTCTGGGACATGCAATAAGTGAAGTCATGGTCTGGATGAATTTGGAGAGTCGATTATCTTTTCAGAGCCTATTTGTTCATTCTCAGTGCTGTATATGAACAAATATTTTTAAGAAATTTCCATAACAATATTCTACTAGGGAACAAAGTTTTATTATTAACGATGACAATATTTATTACATACTTAATTGCCTTTAATAGATAGAGCAGAAAACACACATATTATATTAATATATAAGCTCATTTTCCGGCCTTCTTTCCAGCATGCAATCCAGCAAAATATCCTCGAGGATTGCTTTCAAATTCCGGCCTGTAAATATTAGCTCCTCCACCACCAGGTGCTTTCATCATCCCTGAACCGGCGCCAATGCCATCACTTCCTTTCGCAGAACCAACTCCACCTGCCGAGCTAGATCCTCCGCCTCCTCCCTTACCGGCACCAACTCCACCTACACCGCCTTTTCCTCCCTCACCACCTTTTCCGCCAGCTTTACCACCTTCTCCGGCCATTTTCTTATCTACTAGTGTACTAAATATTGCAGGAATTTTACCGAAAACTGAAAGAGCAGAAGCGATCGACACAATTTATAGGAGAGCTAACTGGATAATATCTTTAGCTTCTTGAATATATGCGTTCATATGCATGACTTGAATGTCGTGTACGTACCTCTCAATCAGATGACACGGTAACAATAAATTCAATTAATTCGTAATGTAAATTCCGAGACACAATGGACCGTTTGGCTTTGGATTATATTAGACGAACACTGATCAACTTTTGGTCAAATGTTTGTAACTTGCACAGTTGCACTGATTACACAAAAGTCCACTGAATTCAATTACTTTTCGTGCATTCTCGTCAAATATATGGTTTCCCAGTGTTAATATAGATCACATTTTCAAGATATGTAAAAATGTATATAGTTCTTGATGAAAGAAAAATAAGTCAAAATCCATATTGTTTCCAAGGTTTTGATTCCCTTGCAAATCTATCTAGGGAAGTGAAGACTTTTCCAACAAGCCTATTCTTATTTTAAGTTTGATACTAAAAACTGTACATGATGCATACTTGGACCAATTGTTGGTCGAGTTATTAATAACATGTTTGGCTGAGCTTGCAAACGTCTTATTTAATTTGCAAATTACAAGCACAATATCTGTAAGATTTTGATTTTGATCTCCATCTCGTGGTTACTGATTTTCTCATTAAATCGATTTATTTTAATCTGTGACCTTCTATGGTTCTATTGTGTTACATCACAACAGTACAATATTGTATAGCTTTTCCGACCATGAAAACCATTCATATGGCTCTCAAAAAGAAGATGCACAACATTTTTCTCTTTTATATTTTTCAATAAAGCTAGTTGCGTTCATTATTAGGACCTATTTGATTTGAGGAATTTTCGATGGAAAATGCCATTTTCCACATTTTTCCTTGTTTGATTGCAATAATTTTCTTGGCAATTGATTTTCCATCCTCCCCACGTGACCGTTTTTCCTTGGTTTTGTGGAATTTCAATTCCCGTTGGTTTGGTGGGAAATTAGTTTTCCTGCTTTTTTTTTTTTTTTGGCAATGAAAAAAAATTCGATCCACAATTGTAACAAATTCAATTTCTTCAATTGACAATTTTCTTAAAAAGCAATGTTAAACGATTACCAAAAGATCCAAAATTTCTACTTTTTTCAGGTGAAAAATTATTCCAATCAAACACATTTAATTAACAATTTCTACTAAAACAAGTTCTAGACAATTCAATTCCCTAAAATTAGTTTTATTTCCACCCAAATTCTATTTTTGCAATCAAACGGATCCTTATTGTTTCTCAACACTCCATATGTTTATCAATACTATTACTGGAAAAATTAATAATTAAATGTCTAAGTAATTTAAAAATTAAGATGAACTTTTTATGTATGTCATAGATTTCACACTAGCACAACAAATTTTCATGGGAAATTCTTACATTTATACAACCCCCTCACATGAGGGGGGCCCATGCTAATAGTGAGGCCCCTCATGTGAGGAGGTTGTACTCCTTGCTGTACAAGTGCGGCCCAATTTTCATAAAAAAATATAGAAAAATTTGCTTATAAAAAATGATAATATTATTTTGCGTTATTGGTGTTAAAACACCCATCTACGTAATATTAATATGATATTAAATAAAAAGAATAATTAAATGAGTCATTTAAATCCACCTTTCTGCTTTGAGTGGTGATTTAGTTCTTTCATTAAAAAATTTCGCCAGTCAACATGATATGTGGCTTTCATTCCTTCTATTCAACATATCTCATATGCTGGTTAGCTCAATTTAGCCCATCACATAAAATCAATTAAACTGATGTTATAATATCAGTGGTGCTAGATAATATTATTCATAAAAAATAGACACAAGCATGCATCTTATTAAAATTGAATGTTATTATTGCATATGTAATGATAATTTGTGTAGGCGTTTAGGTGTTTTTGTAATGTTAATATGGATGTTTTTTTAACTCATTGCATGTTTGAGTTAAGCCTTCAAGTAAAATAAACCTCATAAGCCCTATTTTTTCAAAAACTTATTTTTTTCAAAATTCATTTTCAATCACATTTTTCAATAAAATAATTTTACATGTAAATTAATTTTTTTATTTTTTATTTTTATTCACACACTCTTAAAAAATTCACTATTTCAAAATATATATATATTTTTTCATCAAAATGGGCCCAAACACGGGCTAAGAGTGTTATTGCATCTTAGAGGAATTTGTTGAAATTATCAAGCTAGGGGTTCCTTTCAAAATGGCCAAGTCAAAGTGCACAAATTGCACTTTGACTTAAGAATAATAGTATATTATGACAATGGCCTATTGATGGTTAAAATACTAAAACACCCTTCAGTACATTATAAAATTACAAAAGATGGTTTTGTTTAAAACATTACTACCCTTTAGTCAACAAATAAATACCAAACACTTTCCAATTAAAATATCAAAACCAGCTAAACTTCTCTTATCTGTTTATTTCAACAAAGATAAAAATACCGTCATCTTTCATCTACTCCAACCTCAAAATCAAAAAAATTTATCAAATGCGGTAGCTGAAAATTCTTTTATATCAATCTCATCATATTGGTAAGTAAAGATACGCACATTTACTTTTATTTTCGTTAAATTGTTGTAAGTTTTAATAGATAAAATTTATTTCAACATATATAATGTTAATGTAGATAATTTTCTTAATAGATCTGTGAAAAATTTAAGCATTTGAGGAGAAAAAATTCATCTGCATATACGAAAAAATTCATCTATAAAAATTTGCTGAGTTTATTTTGAAGGATAGCCGAATTTTAAAAGCCGGCTGTCCAATCAACTGGTAGAACAGCGGCTATCCAGTCAACTGGTGGAACAGTCGGAAGTCCAGTAGGCATGTAACAGTCAGTTGTCGGCTGTTAGATCCGGCTATTTGGCAAGCTGTAACAGCCGGTTGTTCGCTAAATAGCGGACTGTTACGGTCGGCTGTTTTAATTTTTTGGGCTATTTTTATGCCTTCGATAGTTTTCTTGCAATTAAAAATTCTTTTTCGTTATGCAGATATAGTTGTAGTCACAATTTGTTATTTTGGTGATTTCGAATTGGATGAAAGAGATCAATGGGTATGGAAATGAACAAGCGATAAACGAAGTGGTATCCCGATTTTCATAACAGAAACAACATCATATGCATAACTCTGTAATGTTTTACAGATCAAGCTGAATGTCGATCCCTCTTAGTATGAAATAAAATTTAAATTTAAATTTAGCGATCAAGATGTTCTGATTCCACCTATGAAGATTTCTTTTGATGCTGAAGTGAATTATCTGTTTGAAATGAACAATAGGCACCCGACTCCTGTTTACGTGACTTTATGAGGAATGATGTCGTCGAAGGTGAACAAGTAGATTCAGATGGAGAGGATCACAATGCTAATGATTTTTGGGATACGGTCTAGATAGCTCGTGAAAATGATGCGATTTTTCCAGAGATAGTTAATCATAGAATTCCGTCCGTAGTTCAGACAGTGAGTGTAAAAATGCAAATATTTTTATAGACGAGAATTTAATCGTTTTATCTCGGCAGAGACATGAGCAGGGTGGGACCTCAGGGGTTGAATCGAGTGGACCGTCCTCTAACTCCTCACGTGTAGTTCCTAATAGTGAGATTTTGTATGTTGAGCAACTGTTTGAAACGAAAAAAGTTTTATACGAAGCTGTGCACCTAATTGCACTAAAATATAACTTTGAGTTTAAAGTGAAGAAATCGAACAAGTCGTGGCAAAGGTATCGTTTCATTGTGAAGAAATACAACTTTGAAGAGTGTAATAAGTTCATGGTTGAAGAGTGTAATAAATTCAAAGTGAAGAAATCGAGCAAGCTGTGCACCAAGTATCGGGGCAAATGTATCATTTCATTGTTCAGAAGAACGGCTGAAGCTTATAGTATTAAAGAGTGTAATAAGTTCATGGTTGAAATAGTAAATAAATCATTCGATCCATGAGATTATCTAACGAAAATGGGAATTGAACATTGGGCATGCTCATAATTTTCAGGACATCAATACAACATGATGATGTCAAACAACACGGAGTCTCTCAATGCATTATTTAAGAAGGATCGAGAATTATCCATCCTTGCACTGATTGAGAATATCCGTAACAAACTGCAGCAGTAATATCACGATCGACGTGTGGAATCATAGAAATGCACGAGCGTGTTAAACCCGGCACAAGAGAAAATGCTATTCAAGGCTGCAGAACTTGCGAAACAGTTGAATGTCGAACCACTGGACGAATCGTGCTTTTCAGTGGAATGTACATATAATACGACATATATGGTGAATTTGACTGATAACACATACACTTGTAAAAAAATTTAGCGGAGACTTTTCCTTGTGAGTATGCAGTCGTGGTTGCTATGTATTGAGGATTTGCAATTAGAATATTGTGCTCTCATTATTACAGACTGATTATTAGAGAGCTGCATACACTGAGAGAATATTTCCTCTGTCGAACGAAGCTAAGTGGGAAGTCATCGACCATATTCGCCCACTCAATGCATTGTCGCCACCTTTTATTGACCCGCGTGATCCTGGACGTCCAAGTACGTCAAGAATATCACCTATTGGAGAGTTTTTTCGATCGCGTAGATGCAGCAGGTGAAAATAAGTAGGGTATACTCGCCAATATTGTACAAGTCATGTTCCTCTAAATGATAGTTAGATCATTCTATAATATTGTCCATTTGAAATAAACAGTGTTTACATTTATTTTACAATTAAAGAACGTCATAATTTAATAATCAATTGTTCAATACGATAAGAAAAATTCACAATGTACAAATCAATATTTACAATGTTTATTAACATTCCGTAAACACAAAAATAATACTAAAAAAATATTTACAGTATTTACGGATCACAATTAAAATCGTATAAATCGTATGCTAACTTATTTATCCAAATTTGTATCTATGATTGGTTGATTTCATCA